ATGATCAAGTTTCCTATCCATAGCATCAAAAAGAATATCAATATTTGTTATACTCGCATGAACGTGCAACCACCTTGGCTCTACCTTGCACACCAACAACTTCGACTCTCTGAATCCCTGCGTCATCGCTGAAACACACTGACTCGTGAAGCCATGCAGACTGGCATACAGGACAACATATGTGTTTTGACCCCAGATTATAGCATCCTGGCCCCCACCGCCTCTGATAATCCTTGTCCACAGGCTTCGGAATTGAAGTGTCTTGACTGCGATGAAGCCTTTCATCAGGCGGATCCCTGGAAACGTCATATCCGTGCTTGTCATCAGATCCCACGCTTGTCAGAAGACGATTTTAAGCCGCTACGCAACGCCTTGAATGGTCGAGCAATTTGTAGATATTATCATAAAGAGTTTCTTGATATATAACGATTTCGTTTATATATCAATGTCCGTATTTGCTTGCAATTTGCTGGATCTCAGCTCGATCCTCCTTGAGGATACATTTGCGCTACAAATCGATCCCAGGCATCTGTCTAGATAAGCCATTAATTTCTGAATTGGCCAAGCATTGTGCCTATGTGCCGATTGCTACCTGGCCGTTCCAGCACGTTCGATCCGCAAACATTCTGGTGAACAACATCAGGGACAATTGGTATTTGAATCATTATATCGTGATCAGTCTATGGCCCAGCTAATTTGGGTAGCGGAAAGGACACTTGCATTCTCTGTTCCCAGCAGTATTCAGACGTCTGCAATCACCAGTGCGGAATATTGATGCAAATTTAGTGTTCTCTTGGGTCAAATCTATAATACATCCCATTAAAGCACCGCTGTCCCAAAAACCAAATCTCCTTAATTGTTCAATTATCACACTTGCCATACGATTTTTTTGATTGAATCTATATTGCATATATATTATCACAAGTATCCAAAACATGCAACATGCCACGTTGGACCATGCTGAGGCCGCCTCTACACCTCCATAGACCACCTTGGAGCTGAAGGTACCCAAGGTCATCATTAAACATATGCGTCCTGCCAACCGGATAGATCCTGTCCGGCACCTGCCAAAATGTATCAGTGCCCATTGTGTCATGATATTATCGATCCCAAAGCCCTAGCTGGACACCTTAGGAAGAGCCACGATATCCCCAAATCAGATGGTGTTCCTTTTGACCAGCGGACCAATATATATCCGGGTCATTTAGCTTGTAAAGCACTGCAAATCGTCCTTTTCGATGGAGTTTGGACTGCGTATTTATTTCCAGAGAGCCTCATGCCCGATCTTGTGCAATTGGACACGAGATTTGCACTATGGTGTTCCCGTCCCCTCGGCTCCCGTTCTGGTCAACACGCCTCCTTGGCGTCTTGGCTTGTGTCCATTGAAATGCCCACATGGACACCGGAACTTGCCCGTAACTTGATTGGGCCCCCCTTGCAGATGATTTCATGTGAATTATTTACACCTGAATCCAAATTGAATTGGTTTTATCGATCTCTAGGATGGTTATTATATTATCCAGATGTCCCATAATCGTGCCTGCCGCAGGATTCGATTTTCAATTTCCTTGCATATTTGCGCAAATTGCACCCTACTACATGAGCCTGGCACTCAATGGAAGAGATTCCCATTGAAATGGCGCCATTACATGCCTGACACCATATTGGATCAATTGGATGATTTGAACCATGTTCTCCATTCCATTGAATATGCCTTGGCCGAAGATTATGGCATATTCGTTCTGATTACGATCGAAAAGAAGATGTTCGCACACGATCAAAGCTTCGCCGATCTCCTGGAAGCTTGTGGCAAAACCTGGGCAAACAACAATGCCTGACCGCCTCAGATGGTGCACCAAAGTATGGCCGGGAATAAATAAATGCATCGATCCTCGCCGTCATGCAATATCAAGCGGAGGCAGAAACGACAATCTATTGAGGATGCTAATACGCCTGTCCCTCCATCAGGAATATTCCTTGGCACAATTGAGCCGGGATAAACGCTCCATATTCTTGCTTCAATGCGGTCGTGGGAGCATTATGCCGAGCATGCTAGCCAAAGCTCGGAATTGGAATGCTTACAAACAAAGTGGCGACGTCTCCATGCCGCTTCGGACCACGATGTTCCTTTATTATTTTCAGGAATTGGTATAACGAGCAGGCAAATTGCAATTGGAGGTGGATGACGACGCCTTGATATAGAATTTCCGTTCCAAGGGATCCTTACGGAGGACAACAAATGAATTTATTTCATTTGGGCACCCAAGCCCAGATATTGAAAGCCAACAAAACACCACCGTTGGCCTCGGAAGAGATTCGAGCCCTATTGGAGCGTATTACACATCTTGGACAACAATCATCGGAGATTCATAAATTCTCAATTCTGCGTCCAATGAATCAAAAAAACTTGCCCCAGGATGCGGCAGTAGCCATCCCGTGGCGCCTCGACCTGAATCTTCGATTCCCAGAGTTTTCCGAATTGTATCAGCTTCTGCTGAAGTTGTTCGGCAATAGAATCACTCACTCAATTAGTGCTCCTAAGAGTCCGATAGTCCGACTGGCGAATCTTCATCGGTCCCCACTAGCCAATGCTATCTCCCAACGATTGAGAAAGTAATAAAAGCAGTTATGGCCGTTCGATTGGCCAATAGTGGATCGAATTGCTACGTCATTAATATAATTCTTGCCCAGGTGTGGAATTGCACGATGAGCCTAACCTTCAACACTGTCATTTAGGGTCCATACGAATAACAACTTTTGAGTATACAGGGAATGTTATTGACCCATATAATACTAATTTCTAAGGTCGTATATTCATAGATTGGTTCAAATAACGATTGCCCCGCCTATTAATTTCCATTGAAAGCCAATCCATTGTTTTTGCCTCAATTCCAATAGTATATGCAATAAAAAATTCGACGACTCTATAATATCTTATTTTGGTTTTCAAAAACTTTTCATTTATGCCTTCGTACATAATTTACCGTAATTGTATCTCTAGATTTCCTATCATTATCGAATAATACCCCTCAAAATGCCTGTCTTCTATAACGTCCGAAATCTATAGGTAAAATAATACGATTTTATAATAAACGCTAGCATTAAACAGAAAAATACAACCCCGACACAAAAATATTTCAAAAATATTTTATTCTGCGGCCCTTAATCTTCAATTTGCGACCTTAATCCTTTGCTATAAAAATCCTTAAATAATATTATTAATAACAAATCTACCTAAATATTAATAAATCCGACGTATATATTTAATTAATATATATTAAAATATTTAATCCTAATTCCTATTTATTTTTAATTTGTTTTCTAATATATAAATAATTATCATCGTCCATCAATATATATCTTATCTATTAATTATAAATATATATCTTTAGCAAAAATATATATTCGACCAAAGTCATCCAAAAATTTTCATTAAACCCATATTTTATATATATTAATATAATAATAATTTCAATTTAGTTTAGATTAATATTAATCAATTTATTCATTTATTTTTAAAATTATATTTAATTCTCGCATTAATATCTATCATTATAATTATTTATCTCGGCGAATAGACGTAATCATTCTTACCTATTAATATTTTATGTATTTCGTAAAATCTAAATTGGGTTATTAAATGATTGCGCATCGCGCATTTATATGTTGTATAAGTTGCCGTGTGTAAGTAAGTCAAGGTACGGCTCTTATTTTCAAATATGTGTGCTGATATGGACGGCCAATTGCTCATATTATAGATTTTGATATACAGTACTTGCTTTCTCATCCCATTCCAAAAACTAAAAGTTACGGAAGTCGTATACGGAACCCGTGGCGTAAGACTCCCTGACCGCGTGCGAAACCGTGGAATGAATTCGCAAGAATGGCCGTGGCAACTCTTGCGCCCAAGGCCGGCCTGGTGGCCTCTGGCCTTGCAGGCAGACCTCTTGGTTTCCGGCATGGCCCCTTCGACCTTGTTCTTGCTTGCGTATGCAACAAGCCACCTGTGTAAAGGGCTACTGTAGTCTCACAGGAGGGGTCAGCAAAAGGGGGGCTACGCTTTCTGCTTGAGCAGCACGCAGCTTTGAGGACTGCGATAAATTATCTTAAAGGTCTCAAGAGCGGTTGCCACATTGTCGGATGCATCGCAGCCTTGGAACTCCGTGATCAGGGCTAGCATTGGGGCAAAGAGTTTGAGTGCATCGATCTGGGCACCCTGATCTTCTCCAGAGCGGAATTGGTGAAGTGAATGGACATCTATGTTGCAACTCCAGCAGAAAAAGGTTGAGCAAACTGTTTCACGCAAATGAACAAACCTGCAAGGTGAAACAGTGAAACATGGTGAAACGACAGGAAGAAATGGTGTATCTGGCTCTTATAGCTATTCAAAAGAAAACTGGAATGACATGAATGACCTGAGCATTCATGGAAGTTCGCTGTTATGTTCATTCTCTAACCGAATGGAGCCAGTCATTTGCTCCCCTCAGTCCCATTGCACATCTTCGGGTGCTTCTTGCGTGGAGGGGTTGAGCAGTAGCGCTTCTTGTGGGTCCTGTGGCCGAGAAAAAAAACGTTTTGCGAAAAAACGAACTGAAAAGGACACGCGAACCGGTGGCAGGGGCGTTTGTTCGCAACACGTGGGCCTCATCACCACGCCAAAGAGGCTCCAGGTCCGTGTTGCCATAGGGCAAAGACCAGGTGCTGGCACGAAATGAGAAACTTTCTCTTTACAGTTCTCCAGTTTTAGACCCCTTCCTCTTGCTTTGTTTGTTTTTTGCGAACTCCTCTAGGACCCTGGATGTGCAAGACTGAATTCTGGTGCAAGACTCGCATCTGGATGTGTCTCCCTTCTCCCAAAACCCTAGGGCTCCAAGTACCTTCTTGGCAGGTGTTTGGAAAGGGTTTGGAGGGTTCAAGTACCTTCTGAGGAGGTACTTGGAGCCCCACTGTGCTTAATACAATATAGTAATATAATTAATATAACATAAATATATACATGATCATGACATATGTATCCTGTATCGCCTTAAGTTTCCACGCCTAGCAGGAGCTTCTGGCAGAAGGAGCCTCGTAAGCTCTGCGACATCCTGAATGTGTTTGCTGTCGCAAAGACTGGACAGCCCAACTGCATTGCGGCACTCCGAATAACGCAATGGCGGCACCATTCTAGCTTGCAAAAGCCTCGACTCAGCACTGAAATAACAAAGCTGCACCTCGTCCGCACCAACTGTGAACACCAACGAGCCACGATGAGGTGGCTCAAAGGTGACGGTGATCCTTAGTGAGGTTTCTGGCTCGGATCGTCAGTTACGGTATGACTCGGTAAACTGTGACGAGAGGCTTGTGGTACGGCACATGGTCTGCCTTTAAAGCTGGAGAGGGATCCGTCTCACCCTGGCGCCACACATTGGATTTGGCGATTTGGTCTGGTCCCGAATTCTCTGGCTTTCTTGTCTTTCGGCCGCACCTTCTTCCAAGCCAGGATGATGGCCAAGTGGTTCACGCACCAGCTCAGAAACAAAAGCAACAAGCTTGCTGCACTTCCACTCCTCAGTCCGCAACAAGGCGTTTCCAGCCATATATCTTTCAGAATCCGCCAAGATGAATCATGTTTGACTCAACTCTGCCCTGTTTGACTCTTCGGCACCCCCTCGGCCTGAACTCCCGGGCTATGTTCACTGCAAGAGCCTCAAAGTCTGACCTGTGAACCCGTTCATGGAATAGTACTGACTATCTTATAATCAATTAGTAGGAACCTGTTTATCTACACATTATACTTAATATACTATATACTAACAGCCTATGTATACACTATGCTTTCACACCACACCACCGCGTGCACGGTCGCGACTTTCAAGCGTTTTCAAGCTCCGTGTCACGCGACTTCCAAGGCACGCTGTGAGAAGGAGCACTCCATGTGCGCCACTCGCCTTGGACGAGTCCTCTGAACAAAGTGGTGCGTCAGCGGCCTCGGCGAACCGGGAACCTTCCCCATCGCGCGTTGAGGCCATGAACAGGTGTGTTTTCTGAAGAAACATGTTCTCAACACTTGTCCACGGTGAATTTCTTCATAATATTCATTGGGTGCACGTTTAATTTGTTTGTTCACTTTTTCAGGAATTTGTGTCAAAAGCATTGGAATAGAGCAGGTTTCTTATTAGCTAATTACAGCAATTTCGTGTCCTTAGCCGAGACACAGGTGTCGTAGCTGGCCAAATACATTGGAATACAGCAGGTTTCATAAATATTTTGCTAGCTGATTAGACTAATTTGGGAGCTGTCGTAGCTGGCAAAATACATTGGCATAGTGTAGGTGTCAGAGAAAGTCCTACGTTAGCAGAGAAACAGGAAAGAGAAAGAGAACCAACACAGGAGGCATATATGATTGGTTAAAAGTTTATGCCCCGGGGAGTTCACTTTAAAATTTTGATTTCGTGGCAGGCGCGGGTGTTGGAGATGAAGTGCAGATTTCGTGGCGCGGGCGGGGTTTGGGGGGGAGCGCAGCGCCTTCCCCAGCAGCACACCAGATCCCAGCACACCAGATCCAAAGGTTAGAAAGCAAACAGATGGAAAAGCAAAAAGTGAAAGGAGAACAGCTGCCAAGGCAGAAAAGCAACAAAAGCCAAGAGCAGAAAGACAAAAACACAAAAAGCATAAAAGCAGCAGAAGCAGAAAAGCAACAAAAGCAGCAGAAGCAGAAAAGCAAAAGCAGAATCCAAAAAACACATCTCAAAAAAAAACGAAAAAATCACAAAAAGAACGCCCCTCCATATTCATTTTATATATAGTATATTCTAATATTGATGTTTCTTCCATGGAAAACACTTAACCCAGCAGGCAACTGCACTTCCTTGAGACCAGCTTCCAGCATGTCGCGTTCACCCGGTCTCTGTAGACTCTAGACCCAAAAGAAGCCATTCCCATCACATCCTGGCACACCTGAGTCCTGTGCTTGGGAAACCATCAACAACTTTGTGTTGGGACCTGCTCCTTCTAGACGTGACACACTGTCACTTCTCCTGATGGCTTGCCAACGAGGCCAAGGCACAAGGCAGTAGGGGCTAAGCGAAGCCGCTTGTGCGCAATGCATGTCTGCCCAAGCTCCGCAACTGCACGAGCCCACGCCGCAAGTACCATCCTGAGGTGTTTGGCAGGTGCACATGTTGCAGAAAGGCAAGAAGCTGACTCTATGTGTTTAATACATATTAAAATGCTTTAAAATCTCGCTCCCCTCAAACTTTTCCACCATCGTTCTCTGGCACCCTATTATGCCCACTTGTTGCGCGACCAAGCGCGACCAAGGCGCCACCACGCCCGGCATGCTTTCACAGCCACCGGCCTGAAAAAGTCTGACGATGGAGGTCGGCAAGCTTCGATGTGAATCCAACCCCCAAAGTCTTGCGTAGGTGTTTTCAAGTGCCCTTTTCTTTTGCAGATACATGCCCACAGAGAAACAAGCAGCGGATGTGAGAAACACACGCTTTTGAAGACTTCCATGCCTCGCAAGGCATGCTCCGGCCCTGTACAGCCAAGACAGGGCAAACGATGCATAGGAAGATGCACCTGCAGCAAACAAGTTGGACAAGGCTGAACCCTTAGAGATTAAACTTTTCGGATTCTTTTTCGGTAGTTCTGACATGTAGTAGTAGTAGTAGTAGTAGTTGTTGTTGTTGTTGTTGTCGTTGTTGTCGTTGTTGTTGTTGTTGTTGCATGTGTATGCCTAGGGAGTGAAAACCGGAATGGCATGGACATGTGCCATGTCTGTTGCGCGGGGGGGGGCGGTGGTTGCTGTCGAGCGAATCAGCAAGCACGCTTCAGCAACATCCGATTCAGCAACCACGCATCAGCAACCAAACAGTACGGTTCAGCAACCACGCTTCAGCCACTACGCGATTCAGCAAGCAAAATGACCGATGCAGCAACCAAACTGCACGGTTCAGAATGTTCAGGAACGCCGCTGATTCGCTCGACAAAGGCATCTGTGAAAAAGAATGAACGCAAAGCTTGACTGGGGAGAACAAGCGCATGAAAAAGGTCGACATTGGCCGTGTCACGAAAAAGCCATTCGTTTAAAGCAATAAACAACAATAATCCATTGTGTGTTTGCATTTGACATGAAAAGCCTGATAAAAGGGTACGGTGTGTCCAATCCGTACGGATGTAAACATGCACATCTGCGACTGAGCTTGGATGATCGAAGCTCCGCTGCAAGAACAGTAACCGCTGTTTTCCGTGATCCGCTATGTCCTGCCATGTTTGGTTGCGCATATTTGCATTTGAGGCACCAAAGCGCAAAAAGGCCAAAGAAAATGGCGTTCGCAGGCCGCTGCCAATGCCAACGACTAATAGCAGCTGCGTGGGGCCTCGAAAGCAAGTGATAGAATCTGTTCGATCTGTTTCGTCCACACGTTTGGTCCGACCACGTGGCGCGTCCGTCTGCAAAAACGGTGTCACGGACAGGCGTGGGCCGTGCGGAAGTTCGATGGCGCCTGACAGAAGAGTAGACATCGTCCTGACAGGTCGAGATCTCGAAATCGAGATCTCCAAGAAAAACACGGCCGATTTGTCTTGGATGATGTGTATTGTGTACTCGCCATCCACATCCACCCTTTGGAGACCATGTTTTCACACGTGTATCATGCCCACATCGTGCCCTTGGATCAACGGACCGTCCGTGACGCGTCCGTGAGGCCTTCGCCACATGTTGTCCACCCAGTCTGAGCCACCAGGATGCCACGAGCGAGACCATGAAGGTCAATGCCTGCAAGACCGCGTCGTTCTGCGGGAACGTTCTGAAAAGATCTGAAAAGGGCCCATCCATGCCGTTCCAAAACATGGTTCGTGTGGCCTAGACTCCCTGAAACAATCATGGAAGTGGAACCTAGGCCCCTGGAAGACGAATTGTCCTCTACAAGGGGAGTCTGCTCAGCTTCCATGATTGTTTGAGGGAGGGTGTACATAATATATATATAGTACGGTTGATCTTTGCCGGTTATCTCTCCTTTCTCTGACAATCTCTGATCTTTTAAATGGCGTTTCAGCTTCAAGGCTAGGACTCCGCACAGAGAGCACAGTGGCCCCAATGAGCGGTTCAACTGTTGCTGCCTGGCAAGGATTTGGGATGAGCCAAATGGTCGAACTCGTATTGATTTGTTTTGATTTGCAGAAAAAGAGCGGATTTTGTCTCATTTGCCTTCGAATCCAAGAGTTCTGAAACACAGGTGCCGTCAGGTGCCCCAAGAGAAGGTGCCCCTGTTGCGTCGTTGAAACACAAGCGGAGCGTTACCTACACTCGAAAACTTGGACGGGCGTACCTTTGACATCACGTAACGGGATCCGTCCCATGGAAAGGCATGCCAAATGACTGCAAGCAGGCCCGAAGTCATGTAGAGCGTCAAGGAAAGCGGGTTGAGGGCAAAAGAAAGCCAGGCCTCAGTCCAAGTGGCACTGTCCAAATGCAAGATCTAGATAGTTCTTGAAGATTTGCCAGTGTTGAAGAAAGGCATGTGGCCACCCAAGAAAAAACACCAACACAGATTTGAACATGTTTTTGTCCGATAGTTCTTATAATATATTATATTACTATAATATACTATGTTGCATCACCGAATAAACAAAACACGGTCTTTAACATCTCCAAGGCACCATGAGCACTGGCGCCACTTCCCAAAGCCATACGAACAATGCCCGGTTCTTCACGGCTTGCCGCTCGCCGAAGAGGGAGAAGTCACGACTGGGATCCCCCAGCTTCGTGGAGAAACCTCGGTTAGAGTCTTGCGAAACTTCCGACCTTCAATTCAATTTAGAACTAACATGTTTCTTCGCTAAACACCTAGCTGTCGGTCCTTTCAGTCCGGCGTTTTCTTAGAGTCACATTGAGTCATACATCATACTTGGACAGTGTCCGTTTTATTCATCAACGAACTCCTCGGAATCCAGGGCTGGGCTCCCGGGCGCACCGTCTTCACGGCTTCCCGGCGCCAGACTTCGCCCTGGGCTTTCACGCCCTTAAGGTCGTTGGTGTCCAGAAAGCGGCTCCATCTATCAGTGAAGAAAGAGAACCAGGTCCCCATGGAGGAGTCTGAAAAACACAGGCTGCAAACATATCGAGTACGATTAAGAAATACTAAGTTTGTCATGAGTAAAGATAGTAAAGTGATGTAAAGTGAGAACTGCCCCTTTGTTTTGCCTTTCAGCTGTGCTTCGCAGCATGTCACACTACAGCCGTTTGGCCTGCAAAGGCCACGGTCGCGCAAGACCAGCCGCTCAGTGATCACCACTCCTGTCGCGCAGGTTGTGTCATTGGCAGCGCAAATGTCGTCTCCCCGAGATTTCTGGACTGGAAGACAGTGCCCCCGCGTCCCGCCCGCACATGGGACTGGAAGATACCATTGAAACCACCCTTGGCCGTTTCTCTGTCAAACCATGGTTTGTTCTTCTCTGTCAACTCGCTCGTGTCGATGTCGGATGTCGACCGAGTTGAAGGTTTCGTGCTCCTGGCCTGGCCGCCGGGCATCTGGGTAGATGTGCGAGTAGATCCATTCGCTTCTCTCCTCCATCCTGACAACGAGGTATTGATGACAACGCGGTGTTCGGATTCGGATGGTCCAAATGGGCATTTTGAGGGCAAGCCCACCCCAAAAGACACCACCAAGGAATTTCATATTCCTGCTGGTCTGAGTGCTTTGGGCTGGTCATGGATTTGCATGGAAACACGGAAACAGCCCAATAAAATGAAGACGTCTTGGCAAGAGAGCAAATGCCCTCCAACAAGAGGTGCTCAACAACGTCACTCTGTGGTGCAAGTGTTCCTCTATACAGGTCGTTGCTTCGCCATCACTGGCAGCGATTGAATGCAACGTGATGCAATGTAGTTAACATTCATGATTCCAGTCTTGTGCGTCCCAAAAGCTCTGCGTTTGTTGGCTGCAAATCGTGAAAGTCGGGTGATGGGCCAATTGGTTTGATCTTGCTTTGTGAAACATTGACTAAGCTTGAAGCCAACCACAAT